TCTCACAACTTTGGGACTCCACTGAATCAATTTTAACTGCCACCTGCAAGACAAGAGTGAATCACACAATCAGAAACTTTCTTGGTTCTAGTGCAAACACATATCAAAATAAACGTGTATGGTATTAACGATGCCTGAAGAGTGGATTCTTTAAACACAACATACACTTTCTGACTAAATCTTTAGCATCCAGGATGGTCTGGTTTACATGAAGGTTGGTACAAATGAAAGCCAATAATGTGTGTGTAAATACACTGATTTAAAAGAAGGTCAAGAATGAGCGTCAGCTGTCACAATGACCCAGTGTTGAAAGTAATGGGTTTGTGAGGATATCCATCCATACATGTCATGAGGTTTCTTACCATTCAAGATAAACCAAACCAAGAGAGTGTCCTTCTACTTTTGGCTTTTCACTCTTCAGGGAGTCCCAACAGTGAATCATCCACCTCCATCACACTCTGTCCTCTGCATCCTCTGTCCTTACTCCAACTACCTCCATATCCTCTCTATCTATTTAATTTAATAATTCTAGTGATTATTAAAGTTTACAATCATGCTACCCATATGTTGATGATGAGTTGATGATGAACTACAGTTTCTAATACAGTAGTCAAAAGGATAGGGGTGACCTGACCAGTCAAATGTATGTACAGAAATTCTTTAAAGTTCCTTAAATCAACCATCATCATCATCCATCAACAAACACAAATCCATTAACAAACCCCTAATGTGAGGTGTGATAGGTCAATATGCATATGTATGTGTGTATCATTTTGTGTTCGTTTGTCTCTCCTTCCTGTCCTTTCAAACCAGCCGGTCAAAGCAAATGGCTGCTTGTCCTGCGCCTGGTTCTGCTGGAGGTTTCTTCCTTTTAAAAAGGGAGTTTTTCCTTTCCACTGTTGCCACTGTGCTTGCTCAGGATGGGAGACAGCAACAAAGCCAAGATTCAACTTGTCTGCTGGATTCCTTAGATAGAGAACTTTATTAATTGGCTTTTATGTATGTGAATGTTTCTGTAAAGTGCCCTGAGACAACTTTGTTGTGATATGGCGCTATATAAATAAACTGAATTGAATCTTATCTCAGCTTTATAACCTGAACCCCACACTCACTGCTCTTTGTATTGAGAAAGCTTCTTGGATGAGAAGTGAAATGTCTTCTGTTTCAAATAAAGTCCAGTTGTTTTTGTCTTGAACTTTTTGAATTAACCATGTTCTGGCTGATTGAGAATCTTCGCCACTGTATCCATCCATCCATCCATCCATTATCTCCCACTTGTTCCAAAGTTGGGTCGCGAGGGCAGCAGCTTGAGCAGGGAGACCCAGATATTTAGTTCCACAGAAACCTCTTCCAGCTCTTCTGGGAGGACTCCAAGGTGTTCCCAGATCAATCAAGAGACATAATATCTCCAGTGTGTCCTGGGTCTTACTTGGGGTCTCTTTCCAGTCAGACTTACCCTAATCATCTCCCTAGGGAGGCATCCAGGGAGCATCCTTACCAGATGCCCGAACCAACTCAACTGGCTCCTCTCAATGTGGAGGAGCAGCAGCTCTACTCCAACTGTTTTCCAGATAACTAAACTTCTCACTCTATCCCTAAGGGAGAGTCCACAGCTACCCTTCGAAGGAAACTCTTTTCAACCACCTTGACTTCACAGTCTTGTTCTTTCAGTCACTACCCAGAGTTTGTGGCCAAAGGTGAGGGTAGAAACGTAGACTAACCGGTAAACAGATAGCTTCGCCTTACATTTCAACTCCCTCTTTACCACAACAGACTGGCACAGTCTTAAATACTACATACACCGCACCAATCCATCTGTCAATCTCACGCTCCATTCTTCCCTCATTTGTGAACAAAACCCCGAGATACTTGAACTTCTATATTTGAGGCAGAACCTCACCCTCGACCCGAAGAGAGCAATCCACCCTTTGCTGACTGAGGACCATGGCCTCAGATTTGGAGGTGCTGAATCTCATCCCAGCTGCTTCTCACTCAGCTTCACACACCTTAAATCACCCAATAATAAACAACTCTAGTGCATCTTAGGAAATAAATTTAAGCTGAAAATTAAGAACATGAGCTAATTTGTATTCCTACTGTCTTGTGTATTTCTGTGTGTGAATACAGCTGTAACTGAGTCTCTCACCTGTCTTTGCAGGGCCCGTGGAGAGGGGCAGGGCGTTGGTGGGGCAATGCGGGGAAGAGTGAGGGTGGGAGTCGACTGAGGGTGATGAGGAGAAGCATTTGGAACCTGCAGCAGAGAGCGGCTCTCGCAGGGCTGGGAATGGACCGACATCACTGAAACTGCAAGACAATGACAGGTCAAAAGTTCATCATACAAGCTCAAAAACATGTGAGTATTCAAACACATGCAGAGAAAACATACATGCATAATGTGGCATATACAAATACATTCATTTTCCTAAACATTTGAAAGGCAAACACTTTATTATGATAGAACATTTGGATAAATAAACTTTCAAAAAACATTACAAGAGAAAGATTCAGTTATATTTAACATGAAAATGCATCAAATCTGCTATCAAAATAAAATGTTTGCATAAATTAAACTTGTTAGCGCATACAGTAAGTTGCTGACCAAAGCAAACGTGTTGAGTTGCAGATAAAGGTCAGGGGTTTTTTTTGCATGTAATTCTGTGTTAGAGTCTGGTTACACTGAAAGTTTCATGTGACATTAAGTCAAGAAAATGTCATTTTCAGATGCGTTAAAGTGACGGTTCAGATTTTTGGGAGGTGAGGTTCTGTAGAAAGTTCATGAGCAATTAATATGTTTGCTTCTCTGGGCCTTTATGTGTAGTGTCAAGTAGATTAAATAAGAAAAAAATCAAGGCCATCAAAAGCCAAATCTTTGTAAGAAGACATTGAGAAACTATGTAACCAGAGTCTTAAACATTCTGTTGCTTCATGTTAAGTTCATACACTGAGCTCAAGCTGTAAAGTCACTTTTATTGTAAAGCTAAATGATCACATTTCCTGTCATTAGCACATTTTCTGCACATCTGCTTTTGTGACTTTGCAGCTTGGTCATAAAGTTAATCATAATTCTTCCTTAGTATCCAGCTGTATCACAGCTTAGCAGATAAGCATGTGTGAAGGTTGCAGAGATTCACATGTATCAACTCATCCACTGCAGTCAGTACCTTGGGACAGAGCTGGGTCTGTCCATAGCCTTGTCTCAACATGCCATTAGACTCTGACTATGGGTGAAACAGTTTCTGTTAGTGTACTAAGCACATTTTTTTTCATTTACTTTGATTTTTTAAAACAGAAAAGCATAACAAGCTGGAAAAAACAAAACGAATATTGTTACATAACACTGGGGTTTTAGTCTCTGGATGCAGCCTCTTACATTAGCCTTCTTAGGCTTCCATTAGTAATCAGCACACCTGTGCACACTCACCATCATGCCTCATGGGAGATATATATTCCTTGGATTTTCTGTGTTAATTGTTGATGCTTTATAAGCAGTCCACAAAACATGCTAACATTTAACATTCTGAACAATATGTTCTGAAAACAAAGGCATTTGTATTCTTGAACTGTTAACCATGAGCTTGTTCTGTTTATGTCATGTTTTTACAAGAGTTTACTTTTGACTCTTGCAAAAAAAAAAGTCATTTTCAATTCATAGATTTAAAAACAACTTATTAAGTTTATTAAAATCACATAGTAATGCACTAACTGTACAGTTGTAACTAAAACGGGTTAAACTTAATGCCTGCATGTAATTAGCACTGGCTTTGCCTTGATGTTAGGATGCATGCATCATGGAAAAACTTGTTCCATGTGAAGTTAGGCAGTTTAGTCAGCAGTGCCTCTCTCGGTATCATGTTAATGCACAGAAAATATAAAAGAATGCAAAAGTAAAAAAAAAAACCAGCAAAACCTGAATGGAGAGCTGCTTTTCAAGTTACCTGAATACTGGTGCTGGGAACTGGCCTCTACATCCTTTAAAGGGTAGGGGGGGCTGGCAGGGCGTACAGGTTGAAACATATAGCTGTCATTCGGCAGAGAGTGCATCCTGGACACAGACATCTTCTGTGTGGACAGCAGGTCCTGGTCATTGCACTGCTCCGCTTCCTCCTGCAGAGGGAGACATAAACCACAAAGCTCTAATGCAACTGACAGACAAAAATGCATGTAAAGCAGAATTTAAATCACTCAATACATTGATTTAAAATGTTGAGAAACAAGTAGCACATGCTGCTATTGCTAGGTTTTCTGTAACAGTCTGCACTATTACAATTGTAACCATATAATGAACCAGGTTGGTTTCCCACCTCTCCAGGTGAATTGGGACATGACCCAATATGGGCCCCTCCAACCGAGCTTTTGATGGATGTTATACTTTGTCTGCGTTGTCTCTCCTCTTCCATCTCTAATGCAATCTCTGCATCCATCTCGGCATCCTCTTTAGCCTCCTGTGATATTTGTAAACATAAATATTTTACTTTAGAAAATTGGCAAGACATTGCACAAAACAAGGAAGCCATGTGGGAATCAACGACTTGCATCCACATCTTCATGCTGCTGGTTAAGTTTTATGACCGTACCTTGTTGCTCTCTTCTAGATGTTTCATCAAAACTGCCACCACAACATTGACCAGAACAAACTGGGCCATGAGCACAAAGGTGACAAAGTAAATTGGCGAGATCCAAGGCAGGTATGAGATACAGTGGCGGTCGTCTGGCTGGCACTCTCGTAAGGTGTCCTTCAGAAAAACAGGCCAGGTTTGTGAAAAAAAAAAAAGATGGTCAGGAGGGAAAGAAAAAAAAAAACAGACAAGATAGATGGCATGCTGACCTACAAAGGTTTCCAAACACCAAAGCTGCTAAGAAATGTATCAAATCATCTGGTCTCAACACCCTGAATACCAACTGGGTGTGGTAACATGGCACATAGGAACAGGAACATTTCCAATCTCCAGGGATCAAATAATATAAACTGTCCCACTACCACAGACTCTGAAGTGCACTCTGATGTGATTTATTCATGCTCTAGCTGGTCAAAGCTCATGTAATGGGTAAACAATATAAAATATTAGTCAAAGGGGAAGGGTTTATATCAGCATGACTGGTCTGTGCATAAATACATTTATACACAAATGCCACATTATCTACAAAAAAACAGCAAGAAACGTTTCAGCAAAACGACACAAACTGGAATTTAGACCACTTCCACAGTTTATAAACCTCTTAGCTAAATACGAACTAAAATTTTGAATCTTGTTTGGTCTCAAGCCATACACTTCCAGAAAGTTGTCAGCAAGGACATTTTAAGGTTAAATTTGGATTTAAGGTCAAGGTTCTTTATTGTCATTCACTTCAACGCTTGCTCTTGTCAAGGGCGGACGTTTTCTCCTCCTCTCCCTCTCTGCTTTGATTAGCTCTGCCCTGTCTGTGAAACTGCTTAGAGCCTCTCTTCTACAAATCTTCTGAATCATAATTTATGGATTTGGTCAGTTGGTCCCTCAACACAATTGTTAACATTTCTTCAAAGAGAAGACAGGCTTTAGGTGAGTTGATTTGCCCTGTTGGCACGCATGCAGCTGTTTATCTCATTGACTTGGAAGACTTGATGATGTGTCAATCTCTGCTGTCATTCGTAGATTTTAAGGACGCATATATCATTGGATTTATGATAACTGGTTCCTGCTTTTTCGAATTGACTGGTTCCTGTTTTATTTACAATCAAGGAAGTCATCGGCAGCAAATTTGGACGTGGTCAGGATGCCTGCCTTATATGATGGTTTGGTTTGTGCCTTGAGCACCCAGACTCAAATGTTTTTGGTAGGATGGATCAGATCTCGTGGATTGTTCTCAGGCATGGTCCATTGGTGTGGCCATTTAATGTGGACGTTTCGGAAACAAGTGGACCGACACAGATTCAAGGTAGAAGTCAGTAAAAGTTCGGCCTGTCCCCAAAGCAATTGTGTTTATCTGAATTTGGCTCCCTGCCTGGCTTTGAAAGGCCATAACCTGATGCTCTGCCCCTCCGTTCCCTCATACTGAGGAAGTCTACGAACTATTCAGAGGGGCATATCCTTGGTCATGCTCAACACTGCCCCCCCCCCCCCCCCCCCCCC